GGGAAATGTTTGCTCTGGTGGGATGGGCATCCGTCAGGGATGCTGCTGACAGGAGCCCTGGTTGTTGGGGAAGGTGGCCTTCCATGCCCACAGGGCCCTTTCCTGTCCTAAGGGCTTGTGAACATGTGAAAGAACCAGTGGTCCCTTCAACTTTTTTTTATTTTTTTGAGATGGAGTCTAATTCTGTCACCCCAGGCTGGAGTGCAGTAGTGTGATCTTGACTCACTGCAGCCTCCGCCTCCCAGGTTCAAGTGATTCTCCTGCCTCAGCCTCCCAAGTAGCTGGCATTACAGGCATGCCCCATCACTCCTGGCTAATTTTTGTATTTTTAGTAGAGATGGGGTTTCACCATGTTGGCCAGGCTAGTCTCGAACTCCTGATCTCAGGTAATCCACTGCCTGGGCCTCCCAAAGTGGAGGGATTACAGGCATGAACCACCACACCTGGCAAACCCTTTATAGTTTATTAGGAATTCCAAGTTCCTCAAATGGAAAATTTGCTTTGCCTAGACTGCAGGGCTTCTGGCTTAGAGGTTGCCATCCACTGGGGTGTTTTTGTATGCATGTGTCACCAGATGGCACAAGCTTTTAGATATAAATGTAAGAAAATAACAAAAACACATTTCAATTAATAAATTATTGAGGCCATTGCCAACAGAGAAAAAATAATGTAGGAAAAAAATAGGTATACTGGAAATTGTAGAGGAAGTGGGAGAATAGGAAGAAGAGATTTGTTAAAAAGATACCAAATTACAGGGAGATAGGAGAAGTAAGTCCTGGTGTTCCATAGCACTGCAGGATGACTATAGTTAACAATTGTATATTATATAGTTGCAAATAAGTAGGAGGACATTGGCTGTCCCCAGCACAAAGAAATGACACATTTTGAGATGATGGATATGCTAATTACCCTGTTCTGATCCCTATATATTATATGTATCAAAACATCACTATGTACCCCATAAATATGTACAATTATGTGTCAATTAAATTTTTTTCAATAAAATAAAAGAAAAATTAGGTATAGGGTTAGGTTAAAATATAATCATGTTGGCCAGGCACGGTGGCTCACACCTGTAATCCTGGTACTTTGGGAGGCTGAGGCGGGTGGATCACCTGAGGTCAGGAGTTCGAGGCCAGCCTGGCCAACATGATGAAACCCCAACTCTACTAAAAATTCAAAAATTAGCTGGGCATGATGGCACTTACCTATAGCCCCAGCTACTCAGAAGGCTGAGGCAGGAGAATCACTTGAACCCGGGAGGGAGAAATTGCAGTGAGCCGAGATCATGCCACTGCACTCCAGCCTGGGCAACAGAGCAAGACTCTGTCTCTAATAATAATTAATAATAATAATGCTTACAACATATAAACCAACTACAAAGGGCTAGAAAGGGCTCAATGGCCACTTTGAGCTCTGATGATTTTGGATGGGGTAATTTGTCCCTATATGTACTCACTTCCATGAAACATACTTTTACCATTTTGTATCCAGTAGTGTTATTTCTCAAGAATGCCTCTGCCCTTTGTTAATCACAAGATAACCAGGGCTCTAGAATCCTGCAAGGAGGGATGGGTTGGGTGGGAATGTGGGCGGTATTTTCCACCAGAGAGAGAGAAGAGGCAGCTGGCTGGCTTATCATTCCTGCTTCACATGCAGCCTAGAGCCAAGGAAAGTAATAATCGCTGACAAGGTAACTCTTGAGCATAAGCTGTTTCTCTAGATTTAGAAGAAATGCAGATTGTCAGCAGAAGGCAAGGGAGCCTCAGAAGTGTCAAGACAGCTGACTTTAGACATCTTCTTGGTCCATTGCCACCCCCACCTTCATTAAGCCGAGATGAGACGGGGAGGCGGGTGGCTTGGTGCCAATCATCCTGAGGAGAGATTTCCAGTGGTTCCCGCGGGGCTCATGTTCACATTCCCTAAGAGGATGCTCTGGACCCTTGGGCAGAGCTTTGTGAGAGAAACAAGGCTGGCTTCAAGTGATCTGCAACCAGAGCAACTGGGATTTGACAAGGACTGTGCAAGGCTGACTCTCCCTGTTCTCTTTCATGCTGGCACCGGGCAGAGTGTGGGAACTACTGCCTCAATAGTAAGTACAGTAAGTCCTATGAGAGACTGTGAGAGCGCTCTGGGCTTGGGCCACGGCCTGCCAGGGCAGGCCAACCGCATGCAGAGGGGATCCAGGGTGAGTGGTGTGGGAGCTGGGACACACCTACACTCGGTGGGAAGCCTTCCCGCCGGCCGGCCAGAGGACACTTCTCTCCTGAGCTGGGGGCTCCCACAGAGCCCCTTGGAAGATTATGTGCAGAGCTGATGTGTGGCAGGCACGTCCTGACCCTTGCAAGGAGTTCAGAAAGATGGGGGTGTTGGCCACAGGCCCATGGCCGTGCCATGGCCAACAACAGCAGGGATGGGCCCCGGCTGTCCCTCTCCCGCTGGCGGTGAGCCAAACCCACCAGGGACTCCTTGGTTCAGTGCAGCTCCGGGAAGGCCTCCTCCACCGCTCAGCTTAGATCTTCTGTCTGCCTTCTCCCTTCCCAGCCACGGTGTCCTGAAACGAGGGGCCCCCCGCTGCCCCAGCCAAGAGCATCCTTCCACCTCCTCCGTTTGCGTACTGGGACCTGCCGCCTGTCCTCCTCATCCCTGGCATTTCTCTCTGCTCCTCTGGGTCCATTCCCGACCCTCCTGTCCCGGCACCTTCTTTCCGTTTCCGTTTCCGTTTCCGTTTCCGTTTCCGTTTCCCGTCCTTCCGTGCCTGGTGGCCGCGCTCCACGCTGCCGTTTCTCCGCACCTTCTTCCTTCCTCTTACCGCAGTGTCCCTTCTTTCCCACGCATCCCACCCGTGCTCCTGCCTGGCTCCTTTCCCGTCCTCTTGCCATTTTGCCCCCCGCTCTCTTTTCCTCCCTCTGTTTCCCTTCCTTGTCTCCTCTTCTTCCTACCTCCTGTAGTCAGAAGGGAGTGGCTGGGGGTGCTGCCCCAAACTGCGGGCACAAGAACCCTTCGCCGCTGTCCTGTTGGGTCCTCGCAGCCTCGGGCCCTTGTCCAGGGCTGCAAGGCTTCGGAGAACCGCAGAGCTGTGCCTTGGGTAGTTACCTCCAAAATTGGCTTTTAAATTTTCTTTTTCATCCTTTGCTTTTCTTGTTTTCTTTCCTCTCTTCTTTTCTTTTTTTTTCAAGCTGGAGTCTCACTCTGTCACCCAGGCTGGAGCGCAGTGGTGCAATCTTGTCTCACTGCAACCTCTGCCTCCCAGGTTCAAGTGATTCTCCTGCCTCAGCCTCCTGAGTGGCTGGAATTACAGGTACACACCACCACGCCCGGCTAATTTTTGTATTTTTAGTCAAGACAGGGTTTCAACATGTTGGCCAGGCTGGTCTTGAACTTCTGACCTCATGATCCACCCACCTCAGCCTCCCAAAGTACTGGGATTACAGGTGTGAGCCAAGGTGCCTGGCTTCTTCTTTAGTTTTTATGAAAGGCTCTGGGAAGCTGCCAAAACAGGGACTGGCACTTGGGGGCACATTGTCGTCGGCTTTGCTGTTTCCTCTCTTTTTTTTATGTTTGAAGGTTGAGTTTAATCGGTACGATTGTTCATAGCATCGAATAATTATCCATTTCCTCTCCAGGTGGCAAGTCCTTCATTCAGTCTCTTCTTTGCACAAATCACATATTTTCTTGAAACTCTAACATGTTTTATAAGCCAGCTTATTCTCCCTCAGTTTGCACATTTCTTTGAATTTCACATTTCTTCTACCTTAATTTTTTTAAACCACCATTTCTGTATCTTTCCAAAAAGGAACGAGATATGCTGTTATTTCTCTAGCAGAAATTCCCTAGCATCATCCCCCGTTCGTGACACCACACATAGTCACTTAAACTCTAATTTTGCTAACTGTGTGTAAAAGGGTGATTCCTCAGGAAAACAAAGTGATGAGAGTTTGGGAGGAAGAAAATGCATTTCTAAAATATTGGAGAGTTGAGAGGGGCCGGAAGCCAGAATTAGGAAGAGCCGGTCAGGTTCACAGCCTATTGCTCTGTTAACCTCGTGATCTCAGGCAACTCCTCCATGCTTTCTACTCACTTTCTTCTTCCATAAAATAAGAATAACCAGCCATTCCCTTCTGCCGTACTAGTTGCTACTTCATGAGATTGTCGTGAAGATCTTGTGAAATAGACCAGGCACAGTGGCTCACGTCTGTAATTCCAGCACTTTGGGAGGCTGAGCCGGGTGGATCACCTGAGGTCAGGAGTTCAAGACCAGCCTGGCCAACATGGTGAAACCCTGTCTCTACTAAAAATACAAAAATTATCCAGGCATGGTGGTGGGTGCCTGTAATTCCACCTACTTAGGAGGCTAGCACAGGAGGATTGGTTGAACTCGGGAGGTGGAGGTTGCAGTGAGCCGAGATCATGCCATTGCACTCCAGCCGGGACAACAAGAGCAAAACTCCATCTCAAAAAAAAAAAAAAAAAAAAAAAAAAGATCTTGTGAAATATACTGGAAGGTGATCAGAAATGTAGGACTCTGCGCGTCATTCACAGTGCTTTTGAGTCTCTCGAAATCATAGCTTAAAGGGTTCTACAGCAAATCAGCTTTCCAGAAGCCTAGTGGCCTTTATTCAGGGATTTGTTTTCTCTGCCTCCCTTGGAGAACATCTGGGGTTATCCCCAGCTGCTCCCCACATTGATCTTTGGCTTCCAAGAATTACTGGGAAGAGTTCAAGTTTCAGCACATTGTGAGGACTTCTCAGCAGCACTGAGGCCAGTGGCAGGGACAGGACTTCCCAGGAGGGGAAAATGGGGGAGAAGCCAATGCCAAGCCATGGGTCTGGGCAACTATGAACCTGGCCAAATGCACATGAGGTCAAAGGGAAGGGGCTGACACATTGTTAAACATCCTATTTCCAGGAGCTGCCTTTCTGGGCATTTTCCTGCCATGTGTGTGAGTGCAGGGGTCAAGAGAGCTACATACTATGTAACCTTTCTCTGTTCTGTTCCAGCAATCATAGAAGCCATTGAGATCCCGCAGTTTATCGGCCGCAGTTACCTGACGTATGACAACCCTGATATCTTGAAGAGGTAATAAGCTTCAACAGCCACCTTCCTCAACTTTCTGGTGGTCAATTTCTCTATATCATTCTCAGGGCTTTTTCTTATATTTTATGCCAGAAGATAATTCTCAAAGAAGACCATTCAGCCGTGGCCTCAGGGGAAAAACACACACACACACATGAAATAAACATAGAAATTACAGCAAAATAAAACTAAAAACAAACTAAACTTCAGAAATTGGCCTTTCAAATAACCCTGTTACAAAGAATCCAGTATCTTTCTGGTCAAAGGGCCTGGAGAGAGAGACATGGCTTGTCCCAGAGTTTCCAGTATTTAGGCTTTGAGAAGCAGGGAGCATGTGACGTTCCTGAAGCCTGAATGAGTGTGATTCTCTGAGCAGGGTAGTTCCATGCTGTGCCGGGGCCAGAGTGTGCAGGTCTGACTGGAGCCAGCAGCAGAAGGACAGACAGATCCAAGCCTGTTCCCTGCTGGGTCCGTACCTACCCTGTGTCTTCATCAGTAAAGATCTCGTGGCCTTTTCAGGCTCTGGCCAGTTCAGTGAGGGGCTTCTCAGCTCTCTTCATGTGGATTCAAGAGCATGGCACAGGGAAATGCTCAAGCCATGGCCATGGCATCCACCCCTGGGGGCAGAAGTCCCAGAATGGCCTGAAGTCTTTTTGTCTTGGTTTGGAATAGCCTTTTACGTGGCAAAATCTTCCACTCGGTTAAGCTTGTTCGGGGCACTTTCCGTTTGCCTCTTGTCTCTTTCTTTCCCTCCCCCCAGTTCTTTGTGGTTTATAGTGTGCTATTCTCCTTTCTGCTGCCCACACAGTCATTCTAGGATTTCCCTTCCTCTTCCAGTGGACTGCATCTTAACACAGGAAGGCAAATCTTTAAGTGAAAGGCATCCAGTTCTTAGGGTGGAGTTGGGTGGCTTTTCAGGGAAAAAAAGTGGTTGGGAGGAGTTTTCCTAGGGCATTGGATGTCTCTGGTAACTGCAGAAACACACCAGGCAGACATTGCTTCACTTCTCTAATCCCAGCTTGTATTTATCTATGTTGTCTTGGCATGGGGACTTAGGTAAAATGGATTCCCAGCCAAGAGAGAACGTCCTCCTCCTTCAGCCCTTTCTCTCCAAAGATGGAAGGTCATTCAGTCCTTAGAAAGTAGTGACAGGGTGAAAGGGGCACAAATCTTCAGACTCTGGAGGTTGGTGAGAGGCCACCAGTGGTTTGGGGAAGTAGAGAGGCTTGATGAGAGCAGGAGACGTGAAGCCCAAACCCACAGCAACTCCAATAGCGTGCGATAGTATGAGTATGTGTGTACACGTGTGTGTGCATATGTATGTATGTATATGTAGGTACAGATGCATGTATGTGAGGCTCCAGCTAAAAGTCAAGTTCAGGGTCTATTTTGGTCAGATACCTTTGGTGCCAAGTAACAGAAAGCTCATCTTAAAATGTCTTACCTGTAAGGGGTATTGACTATTTCATACCACAAGGAGTCCAGACCGACACTGGTTCTTGGGTTGATTAATTAAGAGAAGCAGTTGTACTGTCAGAGATTCCAATCTCATCCATATTTCTTGCTCATTGTCCTCAGCATCTTCTCCAGAGGCCACTCCCCAGCTGCCTGTAAGCCACACGTAAGATAACTATATCCAGTGGAAGTCAAAAAGACTTTCTTTCTCATATGACTCTTTTTAAAAGAGAAATAATTCTTCCCAGAATCGTATCTCTTTGGACAAAAGGCACACGATTGTGTCTCTCTTTTGTGCTGTCACATGCCTGCCCGTGAACCAATCACTGGCCAGAGAAATGGGAACCTCTTGATTGACTTGCAGCTGATCAGTATACCCAAGGCAAACGGGAGAGGGAGGGAGCCTGGAGCAAAAGTCTGGGAAAAGTAGGTCTCTAGGGAACAGGCAGAGCTAGATTGCTCTGCACCTAGCCTGGGGACGGCGCTCCTCCCTTACTGCTCTGAGACCCTGCATGGGGAATGCAAATTGGTCTCTTCCTGACTAGATCAGGCTCTGAGAAGCCCAGACAATAATCCCCTCCACTGTTCATGATTGAGGACACTCTGCAGACACAGACCCAGCTTTGTGGGACAGAGAGAGGAATGATACAAGTGACTGGGGAATGGACAAAGAAACTTTCCCAGTAGTGTTAGGCTGGCAGCAGTATTAAATTATGTATCCGCCTATCTCACCCTTGATTCAAGGACCTCAGCCTGCCTCTTTTCCCTGTGCAAGATGAAACACTGATCATGCTAATAAGAATGAGTATCTGAATTAGTCTATTCCCAAGCATTGCTAAGAGCATGTCAGCCTGTGAACCTATCCCCAGCCATGTCTGTAGGGCATGGAGCCAGCCTCTTCTGAGCACCCCTTTTTTCCTGGAAGTTCCTGTTCTTCTCCATCCTGACTCTGCCTCAGCACCGCTCCAGACCATTCACCTCTCGAGCCGTATTCCTTGTCTGAGACGCCATCACCTGGGCATTTGCCCTGTCTAGACCTTGCCCCCAAGGACAGCCACCGGCCAGAACTGGCTATCCACAGCCATGGTCCTAGCCCAGGGTGGCTGCCGTTTTGAATCTCTTGATAGTTGGGAAACACACTTTCTGTTGGGGAATGGGGCCCTGGAGTAGTAAAACAGGAAAGAGAAAAGAATGAGGTGTGTCCGGGGTGCAGCCTAAGCCATGGCATTGGCTATAGTCTTGCTAACCTGTCACTCAGCGAACGCTCTCTGGTGAGGGTTCACGGTGCTTAGTGAGGGAGACTACTGCCGAGCGAGCAGTCCAGACCTTAGACCTGTGGTGCAACTCATGGTGATGAAGTAAGTGTCAGAAAGTGCCAGATTATCCTTAACATCTGGTTGCTCAGGGCTGGCAGACAAAACTGGAATTACTTGGAAACAGATGTTGGTGGTTGATTTGGTGGACTTGTTTGTGTATTTCCTCCAGGGTGTCAGGATCAAGATCAAATGTGTTCATGAGGTTTAAGACAACTGCCAAAGATGGCCTTTTGCTGTGGAGGGGAGACAGCCCCATGAGACCCAATAGCGACTTCATTTCCTTGGGCCTTCGGGATGGAGCCCTCGTGTTCAGGTAACCAACCCCCTCTCCAGTGGCCTTCAGCAGCACCTTGCAATTTTCTCAGACAGTACAGATTGTGCCAAACAGAGTTGATTCAGAAGGGAGCCAGAACACAGTCTGCTGGAATTGGCTGAAGCCTGAAGCTCCAAGGCTTATTCGAGGCTCCTGGTCTTTCTTTCCAACATGCATCTTATAGAGCAGGAGTCAGCAAACTATGGCCTATAGGCCAAATCTGACCCACCACTCTTTTGTAAATAAAGTCTTATTGGGGCCAGGCACAGTGGCTTACGCCTGTAATCCCAGCACTTTGGGAGGCCAAGGTGGACAGATCACTTGAGGTCAGGAGTTCGAGACCAGCCCGAGCAACATGGTGAAACCCCATCTCTACTAAAAAATACAAAAATTAGCTGGGCATGGTGGTGGGTGCCTGTACTTCCAGCTCGGAGGGAGGCAGGAGAATAGCTTGAACTTGGGAGGCCGATGTTGCAGTGAGCTGAGATCGTGCCATTGCACCTCAGCCTGGGCATCAGAGCAAGACTTCATCTCAAAAAAGAAGTCTTGTGGGAATACTGCAGTACTCTTTTCTTTTTCTTTCTTTCTTTCTTTTTTTTTTTTTTTTTTTTTTTTTTGAGAGGGAGTCTTGCTGTTGTTGCCCAGGCTGGAGTGCAGTGGTACAATCTCAGCTCACTGCAACCTCTGCCTGCTGGGTTCAAGTGATTCTCCTGCCTCTGCCTCCTGAGTAGCTGGGATTACAGGTATGTCCACCATGCCTGGCTGATTTTTATATTTATAGTAGAGATGGGGGTTTCATTATGTTGGCCAGGCTGGTCTTGAACCCTGACCTCATGTGACCCACCCACCTCGGCCTCTCAAAGTGCTGTGATTATATATATGAGCCTCCATGCCTGACTCATACTCTTTCATTTCTGTATTGTCTATGGCCACGTTCATGCTTCAATGGCACACTTGAGTAGCTTCAAAAGAAACTGCATGGCAGAGCCTTAGGAATTTACCGTCTAGCCCTGTGAGGAACAGTTCTGTGCCCTTGTTCTACTGTGTTATTGCTGCATGTGCCTTACTCACAAATTAGGAAGGAGCAGAAAGAGGACTTGGATACTGCAAAGCATGAAGGCCAAGCATCGAAGCGAGTACTCAGCCTAAGACTCAGCAGCTCAGGAAGGTGTAAAACGCTAAGCTCCAGGAGCCCTGACTTTAAATTCTGACTCTGCTCCCTGTTAGCTGTGTAGAGTGGGAAGGAGAACCCTGCTTTCCAGTGTCTGCTGCCAGAGGAACAAAGCACAGATTCATGTCTCAATAGATCCACCATCAGGAGAGTTTTGGTAAATACTTATTGGGTGTTACTGATAGGGCAGTGCCAGAAATTCTTCCCTCTTTTAAATGAATTTAGACTGTTTTCAAATTCGTCAAATGGGTAGCTATGAAGTAGTTAAAGAATGATCTGAATGATTTCTCCCCACCCTTCTACCAGAATGGGTGAAAGCTGAGCTTCCAGGGGGCAGGGACTGTCTCATGTAACATGAAAACACTTCTCTAGAGATTGTCATGACACATGCTCACACGAGGTTAGAAATCACTCATCTAGACAGTGGCTTTCCAAGTGTGGTCTCCAGCCCAGCAGCCTCAACATCACCTCGGAACTTGTTAGAAATCCACATTCTCAGGCTCCACCCTGATCTACTGAACCAGAAACACTCTAGGGGTGGGATCCAGCAACTGTGTGGCAGCCATTTTGCCAGGCAATTCTGATACCCTGGAAGCTTTGAGCTCCACGGGGGAGGCATTTCTGGGGCTGCTACTTCTTACCTCCCCCTCTGATGACTAGCTCGAGTGTTCGCTCAATGATGTGAAAGTAATTGGAATTGAAATAGACAAAGGAGGGCTCATTGAACAATGGAGAAGTTGAGGACTTAATTCTGGGGCTCCTGTTAGTCCTGTGCTAAGATTACTGACAGCCCAAGTAGGATAACAGAAATCTCTCCATTTGAATAAAAGGCGTTTTGAGAGGAAACGTCACTTGTTCAATATCATGCTCATCCCTAAATAGCAGAGCTAAGTGACTCAATCCTGTGATTGTTGGGGACCTTGGAGAGTCATGTGTAGTTGAGGCTGGAGGCTGGCAGGTGAGAGGCAGCTTCTCACCATCTCCGCTTTCCTGTCCTCCACGGCCTCGCACCCGTTGCTGACCCAGAGGTCAAACACAGAGCTCTTTACACCCTGTTTCAGGCTGGCGGCCTTGAAGCCATTTTCTTGTGGTTTTCCTGTGGTTAACCTCATCATGGCCTCAAGTACTTGATTGTGCCCAGAAAAGAGAACTGAAACAGTGCTCAGCTGTGGGTGGGATAGTCAAACTTCCCCCTAAACTGCCAGCTGAAACTATTCACCACCCACTTTACCCCAGCAGGGAAACAGGGTCGGCTCGGGGCTGCCACAGCTTCCATCAGCTCCCACGCCCAGACCCGGATAGCCCCTCCCCTCTCCCACCTGCTTAGGATCCTGGACATATTTCTTGTTACCATTTCTTTCTCCAGTTCCTGAAAATTGGCCCTGTGTTTTTCTTCTAATCCTGGTGTTCTGATTGTGTTCTGTGTGAGATACATGGCTGAACCCAGGCCAAGGCCGACTTCCGTGCCTGCCCGGGTCCCGGAGCCGCCCCATCGCTGCTGCTCTGTTCTTCCTCCATCTGCGCTGTTATTTCACCGCATCCACACCCCCAGACACTGATGTAGGGAAGCGCCCTGGGGACAGAGAGGAATTCCAGTGTAGGCCAGTGGTTTGAAGATGTCACTGGAGAGCTTGTTTCCAAAGTAGACTCCCGGGCTTGCCCCTGAGATTCTGAGGCAGTAGTTGCAGTGGGCACCGGGTCTGATTAGAAACAAGAACTCCAGTGGTCTGATTAGAAACAAGAACTCTCCATGCCATGAGAAACAGGGTCCGAAGTAGCTTTGGAATCACACATGCCTGATCCCCCATGTGAGCTCATGCACGTTACCTAAGTCTGAGCCTCTGTCCCATTCTCTGCAAAATGACAGAGTTCATTGTAAAAACTGAATGGATGAATTCATGTAAAGCGTTCAGTGCAGGATCTGGTGTAGCTAATTAAGGATAATGATAAGAAAAATTATGATCCATGGTCAAGCGTTTTCTGAGTTTTAGAAGCTTTTACCTCAGAGAGAGAACATGTAGTTACGATTAAAATGTGGTATTTTTATTACCGTAATTGTTATTTTTAATAAGTCATGAGCCCTGCCCTTGCAGAGCACATACTGAAGAGTGAATCGTTCTACAGAGCAGACAAATTGTTCTTGAGGTTTTAGTGTCTGATCCAGGCTCAAAGCAAATGGAAGAGGAATCCTAAGATATTAAAATATAGTCTAAACTTTCATGACTTTCTTTACCTAAATGCTGGTCTTTTGGCTAATTTAGCACTCACAGTCTTTCTGCTGGAGAATAGGGAAAAACAATGAGATTCTAAAAATCTATATATGTATATAGACTTACAGTTTCGCTGCAAGATTTAGCAGAAAAAAAGGAAATCAAAGTGCTCAGAGAAAATGAGTATATTTTTCTGTTTTCTGCTGTGTTTTCTTTTTGTTTCACTTTGTTTTGTGATTGTGCATGGGGCATAAAACCTACCACTGGCAGGTTTTGTGAACATTGCCTGACTCTTCACAGTGAACATTGCCTGCTATTTTCACCTCATCACATTGTCACGCAACAGAGAGAGGGAAGAGACTTTACATTAGTGAAGTGCCTTGTGCTACAGTTTAAAGGGGACATGATTAAAAGTGCCACCACAGGAAAGCAGGAAGGTGGCCAAGTGGTTCCCAAAAGGCCTCTCTTAGAAGGTATTCCTGGGTGGCCTGCCGTGGTGCCCTGCCTCACGGCCTCTAGTGCACACCAAGCTCAGCGGCTTGGAATAACCCACCACGGCAGTCAGATTCCCAAGACATGGGTAAAGAAGTTAGACATGAATTTGGCGGTGGGAGGGTGGGGTGGGGAGTGGGTGGCCAGACCATCCTTGGTAACACAGTATGAAACATTACTCGTCATAGAGCCCTTCTTGTTCCTGATACTCTAGTCTAGTGCTGATGTTTCCTTACATGAGGGCATTAAAAAACAATCTTGATAACATTATGCTAAGGTAAGCAAGCCAGTCACAAAAATGGCAAATACTCTATGATTCCACTCATATGAGGTATGTAGAAGAGTCAAATCCATGGAGTCAGAAAGTAGAAGGCTGGTTGTCATGGGCCTGGGGGAGGAAGAATGAGGGATTATTATTTAATGCAATGGTTTGGTTTTGAAGATGAGTTTGGAGATTGCCAGCCCATCAATATGAGTATGAATGCTACTGCACTGTGTGCTTGTTTTCTGTCTACATTTTTATACTGACATAACTTGCATGCAGTGTACACCTATTCAGTGTTGAGCTTGATACATTTAGAATATGTAAGCATCAAATCACTACTGCCTAGATAGTATATAGATATAGAACATGTCCACCACTCAAAAATGCTCCCCCGTCCTTCTCCCAGTGAAGGTAACCACTATTCTTGGTCATTTATTGTTATATAAATGAGGGAGTTTTTCCTGGGTGTGTATCAGCATGTCAGGGGAAGTGGGAAGTTCTTTGGAGAGTCTGAAATTATTTGGAATTGGGGGGGTTGGGGAATCAGGCCATGGAGAAACCAAGTTGCCCCCACCCAGCGTGATGTCTGGATTCCCATCTGCCAGATTCATGGTTGACTCCCTAGAGCACATTCTGGCTCTTGGCCTGAACAGGAGAGTTGTTGGGCTGGAGAACAGAAGGAAGTGCACCCTCTGTCCAGATGGGATCTTAGACAACTGAAAAGATTTTCATTCACTGGATCACAGTTGTGTTCCAATCCAGCCTCCCTGCACTTACACAGGTCACTCTGATTCTGAGATCTGGGTGTTCCAGACTGCTTTGGTTATATATTGACAGCTTGTTGGCTTGCTGTCACACATGGCTACTCTTCCAGGAGAGGTGTGACATATTCAAGCCTCAGTGGTAACTTTCTCCTTCCTACCAGTCCCTTGGGGTGCATTGTCAACCCGGTATCCAAGCTCCACTAAGTGCTCCCTCTGTTTGGAGTGGTGGGATTATTCATTTGGCTCCTGTGATGTACAGTGCTTCCTACATATGTTATGTTACTTAGCATTCGCTAGAATTCTTCTGGGAAGGGGTTATTAACCCCATTTGACAAATGAGAATATTTAGGCTCAGAAATGGAGCAAATTGCCTAAGGTCACAGAGCTATTAACTGGCGTATCTGGGGATCAAGGCAGGTCTGTTGAATTCGAGTGTCTGTGCTTTTTCTATCACCCGCACTGCCTCTCAGAACAGCCGTAGATGGTAATTCAGCTAAGTCTCCTCCCACCAGCAGCTTTCTCTACTTCCTATTCTTTCAAGAAGACTTTAGCCGCCAAATCATGAAATCTCAAAATTCCGCTGCCAGACTGTTTTATACAAGGAGATGCTTGATGTGGGAAAATTCATTAGAACATAGTGGATTTTTCAGGGTCAGAGTGGCAGCTTTGTCCCAGGGTTTGTCAAGTCACCCCAAGTCCTATTCTTGGTTAGATGTCAATGGGCTGGGTGATTTCTTTGAGCCTCCATTATTAAAGGAATGACCTATGGTGCTTTCTCTGGAGAAAGTCAAGCACTTTCTGTTCCTGCTGTTTTCTCAGAATCAGTACATGCAAGTGTTTGGTAACCAGGTTTTGTCTCAACATCCTTCTATCTTGGGCAATGAGGTGAAGGAGAGATGTGTCTCTTACAAAATGAAGAGGGAGTTATCCCAGGTGAAACATACTTCCCTTCAAAAGCATGGTGGCATAGGCTTTATTGTATTATCCAGGGAAAGTCTGGGCAGCTGGCCCAGTTGCCTGAGCTAGAGTAGTCAGTCATTCACTAAATATTTGTTGAATTAAATAATTAGAGTAATTGAATGGATACTGGATGAAGAGGGGAATTTCTCTATGGTAACAACATGTTCATGTTTTTGAAACCCTTGTGGTATCAGTGTATCTGGGAACACAAATAGAAAAGAGGAAGCCACTAGAGAGACCTGACATCAGCGTTAAACAGAGGTTGAGGGCCGAGGATACACCAAGTTCAAGTTCCACATTAGCCTTGTGATTTTAGGCAAATTCCCGTAATCTCTGTGGGGCTCACCCCACTCTGCAATGTTCAGTTTAAACTGAAAACAGATGTATTCATTTTTTAGGCCTCTGGTAATAAATGACCTCAAATTAGGTGGCTTAAAATGATTGAAATGGGCTCTGGCAGTTCTGAAGGCTGGAAATCCATGATGTGGTATGAGGGCTGGCTCCTTCCGGAGGGGCTCAGGGAGAGTCTGCTTCTTGCCTGTCTCCCAGGTTCTGGCGGCGGCTGGCAGCCTTTGGGGTTCCCTGGCTTGTAGATGCCCCAATCCAGTCCCTACCTCCATTGTCCCATTGGCGTTCCCTGTCTCTGTGTGTCTCTGGCTCTGTGTCCAAATCTCTTTTGTTATATAGATACTAGTCATATTGGATGCATGGCTGCCCTGATCCAGTATGACTTCATCTTAACTAATGACATCTGCGAAGACCATATTTTCAAAAAAGGTCACATTCCGAGGCTCTGCGTAGACATGAATTTGGGGGTGGGTGGCTAGACCATCATCATAACACAGTATGAAACATTACTCGTCATAGAGCCCTTCTTGTTCCTAATACTCTAGTCTAGTGCTGATGTTTCCTTACATGAGGGCATTAAAAAACAATCTTGATTACATTATGCTACAAGTAAACCAGTTACAAAAAAGACAAATACTCTATGATTCCACTCATATGAGCTATGTAGAAGAGTCAAATCCATGGAGTCAGAAAGTAGAAGGCTGGTTGTCATGGGCCTGGGGGAGGAAGAATGAGGGATTATTATTTATGCAATGTTTTTGTTTTGTAAGATGAGTTTTGGAGACTGCTAGCCAGATAATATGAATACTGCACTGTGTGCTTAAAAATGATTGTTATGGCCATGGTTATGTTATGTATATTTTACCATAGTTAAGAAGTCTGGTAATTTTTAATTTCAGTGAACTAGTCTGGAAACCCACTGTCTTTTATAACAATCTTGTTTTGTGTGAAGGAAACTGCACTCTGAGTTCCAAAGGACTTTTGCCCTGAGAATCTTCTGTGAACAGTGTCTGCCTGTGCCTCAGTGTTTTATTCTGTTTTCTGTCTTCTTCTCCTAATGCCTTAGCTATAACCTGGGCAGTGGCGTGGCATCCATCATGGTGAATGGCTCCTTCAACGACGGTCGGTGGCACCGAGTTAAGGCCTGTTAGGTGAGTCCCCACCATAGCATGAGACAGAGCCAGAGCTGAGCAGCACTGGGACGCGGTGTCCAGTTCCCTGGTACTGGGCTGTCCTGTTCTCCAACTTTGCCTGGGATCCTAGTACTCCCGATCCAGGCTGTGGGCATTTTCCACCAATTCCCTAAACTGACACTAATAGTCCAGGGAAACTGTGCCCTACACTAACACTAATAGGCCAGGTAAACTGAACCCTCAAGCCTTCACTAAGCAGTAACCTTCCAGAGAAAAAGCCTTTTGATGGCTGAACTGGAGGAGGCCTTGAGAGTGCAGGATATGTGGACTTTAAAGAATGTCTGGGTTGTGTGTGGTGGCTCACACCTGTAATCCCAGCACTTTGGGAGGCGAAGTGGGTGGATCACTTGAGCTCAGGAGTTTAAAACCAGCTTGAGTTACATGGTGAAACCCCGTCTCTACAAAGAATACAAAAATCGGCTGGGTGTGGTGGCACATGCCTGTAATCCCACCTACTCGGCATGCTGAGGTGGGGGGACCACTTAGTCCGGGAGGTGGAGGTAGCAGTATTGTGCCAGCGCACTGCAGCCTGGGTCACAGAGTGAGACCCCATCTCAAAAAAAAAAAAAAAAAAGACTGTTTCAAATTTCATTGTATTGGCAATCCTCCCCCAGCGTTTTTTTTGTTTTTTTTTTTTTTTTTTTTAGAAAGAGTCTTACTTTGTCATCTAGGCTGGAATACAGTGGCATGATCATGGCTCAATGCAGCCTCATTTGACCTCCCAGGCTGAAGCAACCCTCCCACCTCGGCCTCTTGCGTAGCTGGGACCACAGGTGTACATACCGTCTGCCTGGCTGTTTTTTTTTAGTGTTTGTGGAGATGGAGTCTCACTATGTGCCAGGGCTGGTCTCAACCTCCTGGGCTCAAATGATTCTCCCGCCTTGGCCTCCCGACGTGTTAGGATTACAGGCATGCAGCCACTGTCACCCAGTCACATTTTTTTTTAACACTTACCTGAACCTTAGACGCTGTCAGTAGTTCACCCAGTCCCAATTACTTATCTCCCCCAATTACATATCACAGAGGTAATCACTATGCTGACTTCTGATTAACTTTGGATGAATCATCCGTTTGCTCTTCTTTGTATAATAGTTTTACTATTAGTACCTTTGTCCATATTTCTAACAATATATTTTCAGAAACCAAATAGCAGATTGGAACTTAGGAATGTCAATCCCACATGTTAGATAAAGGTCCCAGGAGAAGATAAGCTGAATCGAAGCCCTGATTGGGGTTCCCTGAGGATTTATCATAATCCTTTCTGGGGAAGTCAGTGGGTGAAGTCATGGGTGAGGCCTGGGAGACATGGGGCCCACCGTGGCTACTTTCCTACTCAACTTCCATGTAGGCTCTGACGGGGGAGCCTTGCTGGACCCCCATCCCCTGGCTGCCAGGCCTGCCTTTGAAACCCTAGAGGAAATGAGGGTACAGAGGCAGATCTGTGCCTCTCAGCTTCCCAGGTGGCCTAGTAAGCCCTTGAGACACAGGGTGATTTTGATGAAGTCCCACCTCTAACTTTCTGAAAAAAGAAATGTTTTCCCATGATGGATATCTACATACTTGGATTTCAAATAGTTTCTAAACTACAAGTCAGAAATTCATGGAGTCCACCTAACTCCAAAATACTCCAAACTCTGTCTTCTAGCTTCTTCATTTCTCTCTCTTACCCATCTTTAAAAGGGCTTGGCCAGAAACATCCAAAGGAATATGAAATGCTTGAGCTCTTTACCTCTAACCACACTTGATTTCTACAAATCCCCACCCTGGGAACGTTAGGGAACAGCTTTCTCTTAGTTTCCTTGGGTGGAGATCATTGGCAGAATCCTCACACATTGTGGAATAATTTGTAAACCCTCACAGTTGTTGTGGTTTAATTATGTATATCAACATACACACTGGTGAGGATACCAGGCGCTTCCTAGACATCTAAGGAAACTGATGTTAAATGACCTTCCCCTGGACTATGCACCTGTTTGTGGGAAAAGCCAAGATTAGAATCCCAGCTCAAAGCCCTTTCCATCCCACCCCATGATGCAGCCCACTCACAGCTGGGATTTCACATGTTTATGAGGGATAAGGCAGTGGAATGTTCTACAGGAAGAACTTAACATGTCAGAGTGTCAGGGATTGGCACCGTGCAGATGGCTCAACAGACTTGGCTTTTCCTACTGGCATCAGGGATACCTCGCCTGGTGAGTCTTAGGTTGCAGTGAGGGCTGAACAGAAGGAGTTGAGCCCAGGAACTAGATGAATGGAATGCCAGCAGATGCGGTGAGTTGTGAGCAGACAGGCCTAGAAAGGTGGATACAACAGATCTCAGGCAGAACTGGGTCAAGGCCATGGATATCAATTATGGCAAGAAGGATTGGGTGGATACCTTAATTCTCTGTAGCAGTCTCCAGGGTTAGAGATAGGAGTGCCAGTGAAGAGGAGATTGCCCAGGGGGACTTGCTTTGGACACTGTCTTGCTCTGAGGAACCCTGGTCTTGCAGGCATTTATCCCAGCAGAAAAGAGAAAATAAATTCCAGTTTATTAAACATCCCCAGGTGCCAAGTACTTTACATACTTTGTCTCAGTTAATATTCATAGCAACTTAGGTTTTATAATCTTCAGTTTGTTGATAAAAATGATCATATGATGATGATATTGATAACAATAACAACACACTCCTCTACCAGTCTTTATAGAGCGAGATACGTATCAGGTATCGTGCTCTGTGCTTTGTATGCATGACATCTGATCTCCACAATAATCCTGGAAGATCGACATAGTTATCTCTATCTCAAGTGAGGATGCTGAAGCTCCACAGATTCAGTTGTTCGTTCATCCTCTAGGATGAGCCTTAAATTATTCCACACACAGGAGATACGTCACTGAAGAAAATTAACTCCCTTGCTTGCATACTAATGGGAAGCAGCAGACAATAAGTAATAAACATGATAAAGAAGCATCTTACTATGTTAGAAGGTGATAGCACATTTTTTCAAATCTAAGATGCCATTGATTATAAGGCATATCTTCATTTCAGAAATCAAAAATGAAAAATTCTTAGAGTTTATGAACTAGAGTAAGTAGAAAAACTGGAATATCTTAGAGTAATTATTTTTTTTAAAGGCAGGGCAAGCAAGGCAAGCAATGCTGCCTGTCACGGCATTCAGATATGGGATTCTAAGAAAGCACTTTCCAAACGAGAAGTTTGTGATCTCAAGGATGGGGACAGTAAAAGTTCTGTATAGCTCTGGAAGAGTTGCTTTTAAGAAGTGAGGCCTGAGTGGGTCCACCCCCCAGTGCTATTGAAGCAAATGTATTTGCTTGAAGAAGGCTGGTGGGGCTAGTTTGGAAAACAGCTTTGAAAACTGCAAAGCCCTTGCCACCAGTGAGCACCTCCCTTTTCCTCTCTTTAGAGTCACTTTTGGATTCTGTGGGTCCTTTAGAAACTTCTGAGCCAGTCTTCCCACAGACCAATCCTCTACCTACAAAAACTGCTTCATTAGCTTCTCACTGTACTTGGAATCGCAGCTCCCCATGGCTTGCCATGCCTCACCACCAGCTCTCCTCCCCTGGGCTTCACCTGAAAGTTCTTCCCTGGCCCGCTGCCACCTTCAGGATAAATTCTCAGCTCCTTAGTCCAGGCGCGGTGGTTCAAGCCTGTGATCCCAGCACTTTGGGAGGCTGAGGCAGGCGAATCACGAGATCAGGAGATCAAATCATTCTGGCTAACACAGCAAAACCCCGTCTCTACTAAAAATACAAAAAATTAGCCGGGGGTGGTGGCATGTGCTTATAGTCCCAGCTACTCAGGAAGCTGAGGCAGGAGAATCGCTTGAACCCAGGAGGCAGAGGTTGTAGTGAGCCGAGATCATGCCACTGCACTCCAGCCTGAGTGGCAGTGAGACTCCATCTAAAAAAAAAAAAAAAAAAAAAATTCTCAACTCCTTACAAGCTCTTGACTGTTTGCTTGGGGCTTCCTTCCCAGCTCCAGTGTTCTCTGAGTTCCTAACTCTGTGCTAACCCCTGGTCTTTCTCTTTGCTATTGTTGCTTCCCGTTTGCATAATCTTCTTCAGTTGACTTACCTACCCAGCCTACAAGACCCATTTTGGACAGAATCTCTTCTGAGCAGCTTTTTCTGACCATCTCTCTAATAACTGTCCTCTCCCTAGTCTAAGTTAGGCGCTGCTCCTGCGGTGTAATTGCACAGCACCTTTGTGGTCCTCTGCCGTGGAGTGCTGGCGTGTGTTGTCATTCACAGTTTGATTTTTTGTCTTCCTCAGTAGACCACAGACTCCTGAGGGTCACAAATGTGCCTTTTGCTTTGATTTCTGCAGCCCCATCATGTAGTGCAGTACGTGGGACATAGTGGTGCTTTAATACATTTGTATTGAAATGAATGAATGATTGAATGAGCTCCAGAAATGCTGGGCTTTTTGTTTGGTGTTTTGCAGAGATGGCCAGTCAGGAAAGATAACTGTGGATGACTATGGAGCCAGGACAGGCAAATCTCCAGGCACGATGCGGCAGCTTAACATCAATGGAGTTCTGTATGTGGGTGAGTGACCCTCTACCAAACTAAATCAGTCCAGTGCTTTTCTGGTTAGTCTTCCATTTGCCGTGCCAAGGCTGTGCACTTTGCTGGATCAAATACCTGAAAATCAGGAAACCCTCCAGATATTCCATTCTTTCATTTTCTGAACTGCTGACTCATGGCTGAGGAGGCAGGAAGTTCTCCCTTCAATGTTTTTATGCTTTGAACAGATCCACCAGGAAAACCAGGCTTTTCTTGTTTATAGAACAGGAACCTGCTAAATATAGCTCCATGAATTCTCCCTAACAAAAGAGGACCTGTCTTTTTGTCCCCTTGCCGAATAGAATGACTAATATTTCTGTAAATGGCTTGTAATTAATTCACTAGTGCAGACACATAAAAATGAAAAGCTGTTTTTATCTGTATGATATTTTCTATTGAAAGCATTTGACATCAATGCATTTCTTTTGGTTTAAGATGATATCAGTTGTAACTACACACTGCGTTCTGTTGCCATTATACCACACTTCAAAATTTACTAGACACTATTTGGTCTCAAGGTGGTCAGTTGGGCCAGAAATCACACATGAGAAATGAATTTATAGCTTTTGATCGTGTACCAAATTGATCTAAGTCAATCTGTTCCTTCAAGGATCATTATAAAATAGAGAGAGATGAGGTACTGAGCAGTTCAAGGCACCCACAGCCCTCATGGTCCTATTAATCAAGGGATGTCTTGGTCAGCAGATATTCAAGGGCCCCAAGTGGAACCTGCCCTTGCCCTGCTGACACCTGCCCTTGGCTCACCTCACCTCCCTCTTGCTTCCTGGCAGGTGGAATGAAGGAAATTGCTCTGCACACTAACAGGCAGTATATGAGAGGGCTCGTGGGCTGCATCTCTCACTTCACCCTGTCCACCGATTACCACATTTCCCTCGTGGAAGATGCCGTGGATGGGAAAAACATCAACACTTGTGGAGCCAAGTAACACCAGCTGGCCTTGCCCAAGGGACAGAGCCTTCTATTCTGAGAATCCCAGGGGCCCTGAGACCCTGCCTGATGCTATATGCAGAGGCCCAGGGGCCAGGTGTGTTTCCTCTCATCAAGGAGAAAGTACACACTGATGAGAAACTGAGAACCAAGACAGGCATCTCTGGGTGGCCTTTCCCGCTGACACTCCGCTAGCTGACCCAGCAGAATCCTCTGTGTAGGAAGCATCGGACTTTGTCCATTGACTATGTCGCGGCTGCCAGAGATCACACATCAATGCAAATTCCAGAGCCTGTCTGCTGTAGCTCAATGACTGTGTTGTGATTCATAGTATATTAAAGAGAGAGAGAGAGAGAAAGAAACCCGCAGGGCAGTATTAAAATACTTCTCTCCTTCCCTGACTCATGACACTCTTCCTGACAGCAGAATGACTGTGTGACCTTGAACTTCACATTTCCCACCTTGGCCTGTGGATTGTTTGGATTAACCCCTTCCACTCCTCACTGACTGACTCACTGTGTTCTGACCAATCCATGAAAATAAAGATGGAAGGAGACCAAACACAGAATCGTAATCATAATGCGGTCCCCCTCCCCAGAGCTTACCTCGAATGTGAAATCCCTACTTTTTATAATGCAAAGTTAAGAAGCTGAGCTCCATGATTTTGTAGCTGTACTTTTTGTATGTGTATATTTTTATAGCTGCAGACTGTCCACACGTATACTTTTGAAAGTTTGGGTGGATAACCTTGAATCCTTGCACACCCTTCCTAAAAATTTTCTCCCAGAACATACTTGTTTGGGCCGTTTTTGGTGTCAGTGGAATGGATATGTAACTTGGGTGGGCGACTTGGGGAGCTCTCCATTCTCTTTTGGTAAATGTTGACGGCTCAAGGGGATGAATACGAAGCTTTCCAAGATAAGCAGATTAAAAGGAACATGTATCACCGAGGTAGGTCACTGTCATTTTTGTTTTAAGCGGGGAGATATCTGTAGTAAACTTGAATAAAGGGACAAAGAAAGCTATAACTTACTCATTCTTTCATTCATTCACTTACGGAGGCATTACTGATTTTGCAGAGGTCAGGTCCGTACTAACGGACACTAACACAATCAGTGTTTCTAAGGCTGTGTAGGGGTGGAGGACATGCCGTCAGGATGGTCGGAGCATCTGGGTGAGAACCAGAGAAACAGGACATCTTCCTTCTGTCCCATGAGCCGTGCAGCTTTGTTGTACATGCACGTGACCCCAGAGACAGCTGGTTCACTGGCAGATGCCCATGACCGGACTTACTAAGGGAAAGGTAAGACGAACGCTGCCTCCAAAGAGGAGGGAAATATGATCTAACGCATGCAAGAGCCTATAATTAGTCCCAGTCATGACTCTACTTTTGTTTGTGCAGCATTCATTCAGCAAAGACTTCTGGGGTTTGCGCCAGGCACAGTTCTAAGCACATATATCATTGTAAAAGATGAATAAATAAACTAGAGAGGTTCACTTTGTACCCCAATCTCCTGTCTTTGGGAAGCTTTGATGGCCAGGATCCTTTCTCCCAAAGGAATCATGGTAATAATCATCATTGTCATCATCGCTCCTAGACACATAACCTTACATGAGTGTAATTTGGAGAAAGGCCACATAGTAGCATAGTAGCAAGTGGCTTCTCTACCTCCCAGATGTCCTCACCCCAACACCTTCTCCTTTGGTACTGTTGGGGCCAGTGCTTCCCAAGATGTCATGCAGTGGCTTTTACAGCCCATTTTGAATAGATTGCATCTAGTCACAGATATTGTGATTTTAGCAAAATATTCAGCTGAATTGAAGCTAGAAGAGCTGTTGCTGAATGCTTCCATGAAGGTAATAGCCAGAGAAAAATGCAATGACCCAGGGATGCAAGCCTGGGGGTAGAACCACCTGCCTCTGGGTGGGAAGCAGATGAGGCTCGGGGGAGAAGACTGATGGGATGGCAGGGTCGGGGAGGAGGGATCTGACAGGTGAGAGAGCAGTAGGGTAGAGGAATCCAAGAGGAGCTGATGCCCTGGGAGGCTCGGGGTCAGAGGACAGGGAAGAGACAGTATAGCCCACGTGGGCTCGTGGGTGTCCAGTTTTCTCTCTCTGTGTATCTGTTGTCATGGCCACAATAATACTGCATAACAAAAATCACAAAACTGCAGTGGCGTACAGCAGTGAGTGTTTATTTCTCATGTGCCTTGAGTGGTCAACTTAGCAGCTCTGCCAATCTTGGCTGGGCTTCACTAGGTGGTTCTTCTGGTGTCAGTTGGACTGGCTCACATGTGGCAGGGTTGCTCATTCAGGACAGCCTTGGCTGGGTTGGTGAGGTGGCTTGTGTCTGCTCCGTGTGTTTCTTGTCATCCTCCTGGGGCCTATGGGCTGGCCTGAGTGGGCCATTCTCCTGAAGATGGTGGTGGGCATGAGCACGAGGGTAAAGGTGGAAGGCCTTTCGCAGCCTCGGCCTGGCACTGCCACACCCCAGTTATCTATGGATTCAAAAGAGGAAGAAATGGGCCCACCCCCACCCTGACATATGGGCTCTTCTCCAGCGTGAGAGTGCTATCAAGCCACTTGGCAGAGGGCATGGACTCCGGAGCACTGGAAAAGTAGTGCTGCTGATGCAATTCCTGTCCACGCCGGCAAGTCCTGTGTCATTCATAGCAGGGTGCAGTAGGGATGCTGTGACCCCCTGGCCACAGCTCTTCTCCAGCCTTCTCTAACCCTTGGGGCAGGAGGCAAGGTCCATGACATCCTCAGTGCCTGGCTAGGCCAGGCCTGTTGGGAACAGCACCTGCCCCCTCCATGGCACTGTGGTGCCCTCTCTTCCCCTTGCCCTCCTTCTACCTGCTCCCCGACCCTTGGCAGCTGGTCCTGTTGCTGTTCTGAGGAGGAGGCACTGGACTGGCCGGGAGATGCGATCTGTGCCTGGCTTTTGGGTCTCCACCGTGGGGAGATCATTTTGAAGGCTGGCCGGGCTCTTAGGTGGAGAGAAAGGTTTGGGGTGTTGCCAGGGAGCTGGGAGGTTAACAGCAGTCCCTGTACTAGGGAGGGAAGATAGATTGGGGCACAGGATCCTGAAAAGCTTTTATCCCACAATCAGGGGCCGAGAAAATGCTCTGGAACCTCCCATATGTTTGAAGCAAGGGTGACCAGGGTGTGGGGTGAGGACGTCCTTGCTTTTCCTATTAAGATGGCCTTCCTAACCCTGAATGTTCCTGGAGCCCCCCACCCTCCGGATTTCTCTCAGGAAGGGCCCTGGGGTCTTCTGGGTCCCCTCCTGCGGCGGCCCAGGCAGCTGCCCCGGCCTGCCCGCCGCTCTGAAGGCCGCCCACTCTCCCACCCTGGTATTTGTCTTTCGTTTCCTGACCCAGTCCCGCTCCAGTCTCCGGGCCGCTCCAACACAAACAGGCCGGCTGGTGTCCACACACTGACTGCCCTGCTGGCACGGGCACTGGCACTTTCCTGCTGCTGCCCCCACTCCTTCCTCCCCTCCCACGTCCTCCCTGCGCCCTGCAGGAGCTGCTGCCTCCTCCCCGCGTGGGAGGACGGAGCTCGGAAAAGCGCCCGGAGCTGGAGCTGGCAGGCCCAGGGCTTTCCACTTGGAGGAAATGCTGCATTTTTCACCTTTAACCCAGAAAAACATGGTTCTCAGAAAGCTTGTTTTTAGCACTGTGAGTTCCCAAAGGAGGAAGAATAGGCAGCAGGAGGGGCCCCCAGCTCCTCTGAGCTGCGGCTGCACCCCCCACCCCAGAAGGCTGTTCTTCCTGGGAGGGAAGGACTGAGGGGCAGCCTGAAGAGGCCCAGCTGCGGGGGGGAAAAGAAAGGCAGAGCATTCCAGCTCCCAGTGGAAAGACAATACTTAAGGAGGGGAGCCTGGATGAGGCCTGAGCCGCTTCCCACCTCTTCCCTGCCTCTTCCAGCTCCTGCCCAGTCCAGGAATGCATAGTAGCTGCCCTTGGAGCTGGGGGTCACCCCGGGGGCGCCCTCCACCGCCAGACCCTTAGCTGAGAAGGCAGTAAAATTAGCTTATCAAAGGCAGGAATGACGTTCTCCAGCACTTTCTCCCTGCAGAGCTGCTAGCACCGAATCAAAATTAGAACCCGAAATCAGGGGTCGGACAGCTCCAGCCCACTTCCACGTGGTTATTTTTCTAGCATGGAGAGAGGTGGATCATCTGACTGCACACGAACTGGGGACTTATCCCCAGAGAAGAGAAATGTGAGCAGCCCCCCCTCAGCCATGGTGAGGCCCGAAGTCCCAGGGCTGCAGGCATTTGAGCTGGTGAGTCCCAGTGGAAGTGCAGGCTGTCGTTAGGAAGTTCCAGCTTACAGGTGGCTACAGTCGGGCCAGCAAAATGACTAATCCAATGCAACAGCATGAGCTGGCCTCTGGGCTGGCCATGTGAGTAACTATACCGCAACCTCACTGGTCAAAGAATGTCCACATACTTGATCTTCATAACAGTTCTCCTCCGATGATGGCCGGAGCAGATGGGCATGGCCTGTTTGACTTAGGAAGACAGACACTGGCCAGAAAGACTAGGTGACTTGCCCCTGGTCCCACTGCAAGGATGCAGCCACGATGCTGCCCCCTGGAACTTTTCTGCCCTCAGCCTGACTTCTGGTCAGGAGCAGCCTGGCCAGGGACACCCACATTGTTGAGGGACCTTCTGGGGCTCCCTTGGGTTAGCTGTCGTCCGCAGTATAGTCATGAAATGGAGGGGGATTTGGACCAAGGCCAAGTCCCAGGAGTCTGCCTGCAAGCACATGTCAGTTTCTCAGCCCTGAGTCTGCCTTCTTTCAAAGCCCTTCTGTTGCAGGGACTCTGGCTTGAGCCAATCTGAAAGCAGGAACTAAGGAACTAGTCCAGCGGGGTGGGATGCAGGCCCCTCTGCAGGCAACTGGTCATGGGTTAAATTCTTTTTGTTTCCCTCCTTTGCTTTCATCTCCACAAATAACCTCCATAACCCGGGGGAGTGGTTGCAAGCTATTTCTGCCCAGCAGCCTGTTCCCTCGGGCCCCTGCCTTGTCCCAGCCAAGCCACGAGCTGAAAGGGCAGGGCAGGCAGCCGGGAAAGGACTTCCCTGCCGTTCCTCTTCTTCCTGCTTGCTCTTGCTGAGGCATCTTTGTCCTAGAAAGTTCGGAGCTCCCAGGACCACTTGCCCTTTCCTGGAAAGACGAGAGAGAGAACATTATGTCTCAGAACTTGGGAGGAGGTCTCTGCTTTTCTGTTTATCCATCTTGTCTCTCAGTTTTGCTCAAGATGAAAACGGTGTCCAGAGGCATAGAAATTTCCCAGCATGTGGCATGGCCTTCCCGTGTCCCCTCTGCTTACCTCCAAGCCGGGGCCCGGCCCGGGGCTGTGGTCTCCCTGGACAGTCTGCTCTCAAGGGGCTGCAGCTCTCACTTGGCTATGATAGGACTTGAATTGAAGGAAGGCCAGGAAGGCTCAAGAAATTTGCCGTTTATACTCACTCAATAACAAAAGTAAGAGGCACCAGGCCAGGGGCTTAGCTAAGGAAAGCCCTGTTAGGAAATTGGCCAAAAGAAAGCAGAGGCAGAGGAAATGGACTATGAGACAGAGAAAGCTGTGGGAGGAGAGGGCTGTGGGATGCAGGGGTCGCTGCGTGGTGACCTCGGGCCCTGCCGGCAGCATTCCACGTTCTCACTCAATGTGAGAGCAACCGTGGCCGGGTGGGTATGAAATGGGGAGGGGCCCGTCAGCTATAGTGGAAAGCAGAAAAGGTGCCGATTGCTTGTCCAGCCCATATTCACACCACCTCAGAAACGGAAGAAGCCTGGGCGATCTCTGCTCGAGCTCCACGTGGGGCTAGAGAGGTAAGAGGGTGTGCCCAGGGCTGGGGGCCTTATCCATGGGACTGTCTCTGGCCTGGAGGCTGGGAGCCCCTGGGAGTATGTCGGGAGGCTTTGGGGGTGGGGGTGTGGGGAGCGGATGGCTCGTAGGGCCTCACAAGCATGGCTGCAGTTGTCCCTCTAGGCACTTGCC